ATAACGGCACTGGGATAGCGGGATAACGGGACCGGGATGGCGGGATAACGGCACCGGAATGCGGGGATAACGGGACAGGGATGCGGGGATAACGGGACAGGGATGCGGGGATAACGGGACAGGGATGCGGGGATAACGGCACCGGGATACGGGGATAACGGCACTGGGATAGCGGGATAACGGCACCGGGATGCGGGGATAACGGCATGGGGATAGCGGGATAACAGGACTGGGATGCGGGGATAACGGCACCGGGATAGCGGGATAACAGCACCGGGATAACGGCTCCGGGATGGCGGGATAACGGCACCGGGATGCGGGGATAACGGCACCGGGATGGCGGGATAACGGCACCGGGATGGCGGGATAACGGGACCGGGATGGCGGGATAACGGGACCGGGATAGCGGGATAACGGCACCGCGATGCGGGGATAACGAGACCGGGATAACGGGACCGGGATAGCGGGATAACGGCACCGGGATGGCGGGATAACGGCACCGGGATAACGGCACCGGGATAACGGCACCGGGATGCGGGGATAACGGCACCGGGATGCGGGGATAACGGCACCGGGATGCGGGGATAACGGCACCGGGATGGCGGGATAACGGCACCGGGATGGCGGGATAACGGCACCGGGATGCGGGGTTAACGGCACCGGGATGCGGGGATAACGGGACCGGGATGGCGGGATAACGGGACCGGGATGGCGGGATAACGGGACCGGGATGGCGGGATAACGGGACAGGGATGCGGGGATAACGAGACCGGGATAGCGGGATAACGGGACCGGGATACGGGGATAACGGCACCGGGATGGCGGGATAACGGCACCGGGATGGCGGGATAACGGCACCGGGATGGCGGGGATAACGGCACCGGGATGCGGGGATAACGGCACCGGGATGGCGGGATAACGGCACCGGGATGGCGGGATAACGGCACCGGGATGGCGGGATAACGGGACCGGGATGCGGGGTTAACGGCACCGGGATGCGGGGATAACGGGACCGGGATGGCGGGATAACGGGACCGGGATGGCGGGATAACGGCACCGGGATGGCGGGATAACGGCACCGGGATGCAGGGATAACGGGACCGGGATAGCGGGATAACGGGACCGGGATAGCGGGATAACGGCACCGGGATAACGGGATAACGGCACTGGGATGCGGGGATAACGGCAGCGGGATAGCGGGATAACGGCACTGGGATGCGGGGATAACGGCAGCGGGATAGCGGGATAACGGCACTGGGATGGCGGGATAACGGGACCGGGATGAGGGGATAACGGCACTGGGATAGCGGGGATAACGGGACCGGGATGGCAGGATAACGGCACCGGGATAACGGCACCGGGATGGCGGGATAACGGCACCGGGATAACGGCACCGGGATAGCGGGACCGGGATGCGGGGATAAGGGGACCGGGATAGCGGGATAACGGGACCGGGATGTGGGGATAACAGCTCCGGGATAGCGGGATAACGGGACCAGGATGCGGGGATAAGGGGACCGGGATGCAGGGATAACGGCACCGGGATAACGGCACCGGGATAGCGGGATAACGGCACCGGGATAGGGGGATAACGGGACCGGGATAGCAGGATAATGGGACCGGGATAACGGGACCGGGATGCGGGGATAACGGCACCGGGATAGCGGGATAACGGCACCGGGATAGCGGGATAACGGCACCAGGATGCGGAGATAACGAGACCGGGATAGCGGGATAACGGCACTGGGATAGCGGGGGTAACAGGACCGGGATGGCGGGATAACGGGACCAGGATGCGGGGATAACGGCACCGGGATGCAGGGATAATGGGACCGGGATGACGGCACCGGGATGCGGGGATAATGGCACCGGGATAGGGGGATAATGGGACCGGGATAGCAGGATAACGGCACCGGGATTGCGGGATAATGGCACTGGGATAGCGGGATAACGGCACCGGGATGCGGGGATAACGGCACTGGGATGGCGGGATAACGGCACCGGGATGCAGGGATAACGGGACCGGGATAGCGGGATAACGGCACCGGGATGGCGGGGATAACGGGACTGGAATACGGGGATAACGGGACCGGGATGCGGGGATAACGGGACCGGGATGCAGGGATAAGGACCGTGATACAGGGATAACACTAATCAGGATGCAAGGATAACATCCGGGATACAGGGATAAGGACCAGGATGCAGGGATAATGACTGGGATCCAGGGATAACAGCCAGGATCCAGGGATAACAGCTGGGACCCAGGGATAACAACCGGGATCCAGAGATAACAACTGGGATCCAGGGATAACAACAGGGATAACAACTGGGATCCAGGGACAACAACTGGGATAACAACTGGGATGCAGGGATAACAACAGGGATAACAACCGGGAATCAGGGATAACAACCGGGATCCAGGGATAACAACTGGGATGCAGGGATAACAACAGGGATAACAACTGGGATCCAGGGACAACAACAGGGATAACAACTGGGATGCAGGGATAACAACAGGGATAACAACTGGGATGCAGGGATAACAACAGGGATAACAGCTGGGATCCAGGGACAACAACTGGGATAACAACTGGGATGCAGGGATAACGACCCCTGGGATCTATGGATAAGTCTCCCCCCCAACCCCACTCTGTGCCATCCCCCCCATAGGCCGCTATGAGGAGGCCCTGGAGGAGCACCGGGAGGAGCTGCGGCTGCTGGAGGGCGCCGGGGACCGTTTGGGCTGCGCCATCGCCCACCGCAAGATCGGCGAGCGCCTGGCGGAGCTGGAGCGGTACCCGGCTGCCCTGCAGGTACCCACTGCATCCCCGTGGTGCTGGTACCCACTGCATCCCCGTGGTGCTGGTACCCACTGCATCCTGCCCTGAGCTGGGGCATCCCCATGGTGCTGGTACCCACTGCATCCTGTGCTCCGCTGGGGCATCCCCATGGTGCTGGTACCCACTGCATCCTGCCCTGTGCTGGGGCATCCCCGTGGCGCTGGTACCCACTGCATCCTGCCCTATCCTGCACCATCCCCATGGCACTGGTACCCACTGCATCCCCGTGGCGCTGGTACCCACTGCATCCTGCCCTGTGCTGGGGCATCCCCGTGGCGCTGGTACCCACTGCATCCCGGTGATGCTGGTACCCACTGCATCCTGCCCTGTGCTGGGCATCCCTGTGGCGCTGGTACCCACTGCATCCTGTGCTCTGCTGGGGCATCCCCATGGTGCTGGTACCCACTGCATCCCCGTGGCGCTGGTACCCACTGCATCCCCGTGGTGCTGGTACCCACTGCATCCTGTGCTCTGCTGGGGCATCCCCATGGTGCTGGTACCCACTGCATCCCCGTGGCGCTGGTACCCACTGCATCCCCGTGGTGCTGGTACCCACTGCATCCTGTGCTCTGCTGGGGCATCCCCATGGTGCTGGTACCCACTGCATCCCCGTGGCGCTGGTACCCACTGCATCCCCGTGGCGCTGGTACCCACTGCATCCTGTGCTCTGCTGGGGCATCCCCATGGTGCTGGTATCCACTGCATCCCCGTGGCGCTGGTACCCACTGCATCCCCGTGGCGCTGGTACCCACTGCATCCCCATGGTGCTGGTACCCACTGCATCCCCATGGCGCTGGTACCCACTGCATCCCCGTGGCGCTGGTACCCACTGCATCCCCGTGGTGCTGGTACCCACTGCATCCTGCCCTGTGCTGGGGCATCCCCATGGTGCTGGTACCCACTGCATCCTGCCCTGTGCTGGAGCATCCCCATGGTGCTGGTGCCCACCGCATCCTGCCCTATTCCGCCCCATCGCCACGGTGCTGCTCCCACCTCCTCCCTCCCTCTTCAGCCCCATTCCCGTGGCGCTCAGCACCCTTTTCCTGCCTCCCTTTTCCCCCATCGCCACGGTGCTGCTCCCACCTCCTCCCTCCCTCTTCAGCCCCATTCCCGTGGCGCTCAGCACCCTTTTCCTGCCTCCCTTTTCCCAGCACCAGGAGCAGCACCTGGAGCTGGCGCGGGCGCTGGGCGACCACACGGAGCAGCAGCGGGCCTGGGCCACCCTGGGCCGGACCCACATGTTCATAGGGGAGAGCAGCGAGGAGCCCGGGGCGCTGGATGAGGCCCAAAGGGCTTTCCACACCAGCTTGGCCATCGTGGAGGAGAGGCTGGAAGGTGCTGGGGTCTCAATGATGGGTGCTGGGTGCTGTGCACCCATGGGTGCTGAGCCCCGGCGGTGGGTGCAGGATGGGTGCCGCGGAGGGAGGTGCTGGAGATGAAGGCTCGGCTCTTCCTCAACCTGGCGTTGGTGAGCGACAGCCGGAAGGAGCCGGAGCAGAGGGAGCGGTACCTGAGGAGGAGCATCTTCCTGGCGGAGTAGGGAGATGGGATTGGGAATGATGGGGTTGGGAATGATGGGGTGGGGGAGATGGGGTAGGGGATGATGGGATTGGGAATGATGGGGTGGGGGAGATGGGATTGGGAATGATGGGGTTGGGAATGATGGCGTGGGGGGTATGGGATTGGGAATGATGGGGTTGGGAATGATGGCGTGGGGGAGATGGGATTGGGAATGATGGGGTTGGGGGGAGATGGGGTGGGGGGTATGGGATTGGGAATGATGGGATTGGGAATGATGGGGTGGGGGAGATGGGATTGGGAATGATGGGATGGGGGGAGATGGGGTGGGGGGTATGGGATGGGGGTATGGGATGGGGGGAGATGGGGGGTGATGGGGTGGGGGAGATGGGGTAGGGGATGATGGGATTGGGAATGATGGGATGGGGGGAGATGGGGTGGGGGGTATGGGATTGGGAATGATGGGATGGGGGGAGATGGGGTGGGGGGTATGGGATTGGGAATGATGGGTGGGGGGAGATTGGGGTGGGGGGTATGGGATTGGGAATGATGGGATGGGATGGGGGGAGATGGGGTGGGGGGTATGGGATTGGGAATGATGGGATGGGGGGAGATGGGCGGTGATGGGGTGGGGGAGATGGGGTGGGGGGAGATGGGGTGGGGTGGGGGAGATGGGATGGGGTGATGGGGTGGGGGGAGATGGGGTGGGGGTGATGGGGGGAGATGGGGTTGGGGGAGGTGGGGTGGGGGGAGGTGGGGGTAATGGGGTGGGGGGAGATGGGATGGGGGTGATGGGATTGGGAATGATGGGATCTGGGAATGGGTTTGATGGGATGTGGGAAGGGGTTGAGGTGGGAGCTGGGAATGATGGGATCTGGAAGTGGGTTGGGGTTAGCCTTAGGGTTAAGGTGGGGGGGTCACATGGGTGCCGCTGTCCCCATGCAGGCGGGGTGGGTCCCATGGGTGCTGGGGTCCTATGGGTGGCGGGGTCCCATGGGTGCTGCTGTCCCATGGGTGCCACTGTCCCATGGGTGCTGGGGTCCCATGGGTGATGTGGTCCCATGGGTGCCGCTGTCCCATGGGTGCCGTGGTCCCATGGGTGCCGTGGTCCCATGGGTGATGTGGTCCCATGGGTGCCGCGGTCCTATGGGTGCCGGGGTCCCATGGGTGCCGCTGTGTCCCCGCAGGCAGGGGGGGTTCCATGGGTGCTGCTGTCCCATGGGTGCCACGGTCCCATGGGTGCCGTGGTCCCATGGGTGATGTGGTCCCATGGGTGCCGCGGTCCCATGGGTGCCGGGGTCCCATGGGTGCCGCTGTGTCCCCGCAGGCAGGGGGGGTTCCATGGGTGCTGCTGTCCCATGGGTGCCGCGGTCCCATGGGTGATGTGGTCCCATGGGTGCCGCTGTCCCCATGCAGGCAGTGGGGGTCCCATGGGTGATGTGGTCCCATGGGTGCCGGGGTCCCATGGGTGCCGCTGTGTCCCCGCAGGCAGTGGGGATCCCATGGGTGCCGCGGTCCCATGGGTGCCACTGTGTCCCCGCAGGCAGGGGGCGTCCCATGGGTGCCGTGGTCCCATGGGTGCCGCTGTGTCCCTGCAGGCAGTGGGGATCCCATGGGTGCTGTGGTCCCATGGGTGCCGCTGTGTCCCCGCAGGCAGTGGGGGTCCCATGGGTGCCGCTGTGTCCCCGCAGGCAGGGGGGGTCCCATGGGTGCTGGGGTCCCATGGGTGCCGCTGTGTCCCCGCAGGCAGGGTGGGTCCCATGGGTGCCGCTGTCCCATGGGTGCCGTGGTCCCATGGGTGCCGCTGTGTCCCCGCAGGCAGGGGGGGCTGCAGGAGGACCTGTACCGGGCGCACTTCAACCGCGGCTCCATCCTGCTGCGGGACGGGGACCACGGCGGGGCCCTGCGGAGCCTGAGCCGCGCTCGGGAGTGCGCCCGGAGCCTGCGGGACCGGGCCCTGGAGAGCGAGAGCTGCGCCAGCTCCGCACGGGTACGGGGACACCAGCACCCAACGCCCAGCACCCAACACCCAGCACCTGCACCCAGCACCCAACACCCAGCGCCCAACACCCAGCATCCAGCACCCAGTGCCCAGCATCCAGCACCCAGTGCCCAACACCCAGCGCCCAGCGCCCAGTGCCCAGCACCTAACCCCCAGCATCCAGCACCCAGCGCCCAGCACCCAACACCAGCACCCAGTGCCCAGCATCCAGCACCCAGCATCCAGCACCCAACACCCAGCACCCAACCCAGCACCCAACCCAGCACCCAGCGCCCAACACCCAGCACCCAACCCAGCATCCAGCACCCAACCCAGCATCCAGCACCCAGCACCCAGCATCCACCGCCCAGCACCCAGTGCCCAGCATCCAGCACCTAGCGCCCAACACCCAGCGCCCAGCACCCAACCCCCAGCACCCTACACCCAGCGCCCAACACCCAACCCCCAGCACCCAGCCCTGCGTCCCTCATCCCAGGCCCCATCCCTCCCCATCCCATCCCTGAGCCCCATCACCCCCTTCACCCCTGTTGCCCCCCATAGCCCCACTGTTCCCCATTGCCCCCCATCGTCCCCATCATGCCCCTCACCCCATAGCCCCGCTGTTCCCTATTGCCCCCCCGTCACCCCCTCACCCCATAGCCTCCATCAGCCCCCATAGCCCCACTGTTCCCCATTGCCCCCCATTTTCCCCATCGCCCCCCTCACCCCATAGCCTCCATCACACCCCATAGCCCCGCTGTTCCCTATTGCCCCCCCATCACCCCCTCACCCCATAGCCTCCATCACCCCCATAGCCCCGCTGTTCCCTATTGCCCCCCATTGTCCCCATCACCCCCCTCACCCCATAGCCTCCATCACACCCCATAGCCCCGCTGTTCCCTATTGCCCCCCCATCGCCCCCCTCACCCCATAGCCTCCATCACCCCCCATAGCCCCACTGTTCCCCATTGCCCCCATTGCCCCCCTCACCCCATAGCCTCCATCGCCCCCCATTGCCCCTATCACCCCCCTCACCCCCATCGCCCCCCATAGCCCCTCTCTCCCCGCAGGTGTTCCTGGCCCTGGGGGACTTTGCTGCTGCCCGGCGCTCTCTCCGGCAGGCCCTTGCCCTGGGCCCGCGGCAGCCGCGGCACCGGCACCAAGTGCGCGCCGACCTCCGCTACGGTGAGGCCCCAATGACGTCATCAAGCCCTCAGTGATGTCATCAAACCATCAATGACATCATCAAGGCCCCGATGACATCCCCAAGCCCTCAATGACGTCATCAAGCCCTCAATGATGTCATCAAACCATCAATGATGTCATCAAGCCCTCAATGATGACCCCAATGACATCCCCAAGGCCCCAAAGACTCCCCAAGGCCCCGATGACATCCCCAAGGCCCCACTGACGTCATCAAGCCTTCAATGATGTCATCAAACCATCAATGACGTCATCAAGCCCCCAATGACGTCCCCAAGGCCCCAAAGACTCCCCAAGCCCTCAATAACGTCATCAGGCCCTCAATGATGTCATCAAACCATCAATGATGTCATCAAGCCCCCAATGACGCCCCCAATGACGTCCCCAAGGCCCCCAATGACATCCCCAAGGCCCCGATGACATCCCCAAGGCCCCAGTGACATCATCAAGCCCTCAATGATGTCATCAAACCATCAATGACGTCATCAAGCCCCCAATGACGTCCCCAAGGCCCCAAAGACTCCCCAAGCCCTCAAGACATCATCAAACCCTCAATGACGTCATCAAGCCCCCAATGACATCCCCAAGGCCCCGATGACATCCCCAAGGCCTCAATGACATCATCAAGCCCTCAATGATGTCATCAAGCCCCCCAATGAAGTCCCCAACCCCCCAGTGATGCCCCCATAGCCCCCAATGACGCCCCCATAGGTTCCAAAGACGTCCCCAAGGCCCCAATGACGTCATCAAGCCCTCAGTGACTTCCCCATGCCTCCAATGACATCATCAAGCTCTCAATGATGTCATCAAGCCCTCAATGACGTTGCCAAGCCCCCATTGACTTCCCCAAGACCCCATTGACTTCCCCAAGGCCCCAATGACGTCCCCATAGCCCCAATGACGTCCCCATAGCCCCCAATGACATCCCTACACCCCCAATGCCATCCCCATAGCCCCCAATGACATCCCCATAGCCCCCAATGACATCCCCACACCCCCAATGCCATCCCCATAGCCCCCAATGCCATCCCCATAGCCCCCAATGACGTCCCCATAGCCCCCAATGACGCCCCCATAGGTCCCAATGACGTCCCCATAGGTCCCAATGACATCCCCATAGGCCCCAATGACACTCCCACAGCCCCCAATGACGTCCCCATAGCCCCCAGTGACGTCCCCATAGCCCCCAATGACATCCCCATAGCCCCCAATGATGTGCCCATAGCCCCCAATGACGCCCCCAATGACATCCCCATAGCCCCCAATGGGTCCCCGTCCCCCCCCAACCCCATTGCCCCCCCTCCCCATAGCCCCCAATGGGTCCCCCCCCATAACCCCACTGCCCCCCCTCCCCATAGCCCCCAATGGGTCCCCCCCCATAAAGCCGTTGCCCCCCCTCCCCATAGCCCCCCACTGACATCCCCATAGCCCCCAATGGGTCCCCATCCCCCCCCGCCCCCCATAACCCCATTGCCCCTCCTCCCCATAGCCCCCAATGGGTCCCCGTCCCCCCCCATAACCCCACTGCCCCCCTCCCCATAGCCCCCAATGGGTCCCCGTCCCCATAACCCCATTGCCCCCCTCCCCATAGCCCCCAATGGGTCCCCGTCCCCATAACCCCATTGCCCCCCCTCCCCATAGCCCCACTGACACCCCCCCATAGCCCCCAATGACATCCCCATAGCCCCCCGTGGGTCCCTGTCCCCCCCATAACCCCACTGCCCCCCCTCCCCATAGCCCCCAATGACATCCCCATAGCCCCAATGGGTCCCCCCCCATAACCCCACTGCCCCCCTCCCCATAGCCCCCCACCGACATCCCCATAGCCCCCACTGGGTCCCCCCCCATAACCCCACTGCCCCCCCTCCCCATAGCCCCCCACTGACATCCCCATAGCCCCCAATGGGTCCCCCCCCATAACCCCATTGCCCCCCTCCCCATAGCCCCCACTGACCCCCCCCATAGCCCCCAATGGGTCCCCATAGTCCCCCCCCATAACCCCGTCCCCCCCCCATACCCCCATGCCCCCCCTCCCCATAGCCCCCCAACCTGGGTCCCAATGGGTCCCCGCCTCCCCCATAACCCCATTGCCCCCCTCCCCATAGCCCCCAATGGGTCCCCCCCATAACCCCATTGCCCCCCTCCCCATAGCCCCCAATGGGTCCCCGTCCCCCCCATAACCCCACTGCCCCCCTCCCCATAGCCCCCAATGGGTCCCCGTCCCCCCCCATAACCCCACTGCCCCCCTCCCCATAGCCCCCAATGGGTCCCTGTCCCCCCCCATAACCCCACTGCCCCCCTCCCCATAGCCCCCAATGGGTCCCCCCCATAACCCCGTTCCCCCCCCTCCCCATAGCCCCCCACTGACATCCCCATAGCCCCCAATGGGTCCCCGTCCCCCCCATAACCCCATTGCCCCCCTCCCCATAGCCCCCAATGGGTCCCCCCCCATAACCCCATTGCCCCCCCTCCCCATAGCCCCCAATGGGTCCCCCCCATAACCCCGTTACCCCCCCTTCCCATAGCCCCCCACTGACATCCCCATAGCCCCCAATGGGTCCCCGTCCCCCCCATAACCCCATTGCCCCCCTCCCCATAGCCCCCAATGGGTCCCCGTCCCCCCCTAACCCCATTGCCCCCCTCCCCATAGCCCCCAATGGGTCCCCGTCCCCCCCATAACCCCACTGCCCCCCTCCCCATAGCCACGCGGATGCTGCGGCTGCTGCAGGCGCTCGAGGGGGCCGGGGGGGACGCGGCGGCGGCGCTGCCCCTCTGCGAGCAGCTGGGGGACGCCTGCTCCCGGCGCGGCGACTACGGCAGGGCCCTGGGCTTCTACCAGAGGCAGGTGAGAGGGGGGCGTCTATGGGGTCTCTATGGGGTGTCTATGGGGTGTCTGTGGGGTTCTGTGGGGCTCTATGGGTCTCTATGGGGGCTCTATGGGGCTCTATGGGGTCTCTATGGGGCTCTATGGGTCTCTATGGGGCTCTATGGGGGCTCTGTGGGGGCTCTATGGGGTCCCTATGGGGCTCTGTGGGGCTCTATGGGGCTCTATGGGGTCTCTATGGGGCTCTATGGGGTCTCTATGGGGCTCTATGGGGTCTCTATGGGGCTCTGTGGGGCTCTATGGGGTCCCTATGGGGCTCTGTGGGGGCTCTATGGGGTCTCTGTGGGGACTCTGTGGGTCTCTATGGGGACTCTGTGGGGCTCTATGGGGTGCCTATGGGGCTCTATGGGGTCTCTATGGGGCTCTGTGGGGCTCTATGGGGTCTCTGTGGGGTCCCTATGGGGCTCTATGGGGACTCTGTGGGGCTCTATGGGGTGCCTATGGGGCTCTATGGGGTCTCTATGGGGCTCTGTGGGGCTCTATGGGGCTCTATGGGGGCTCTGTGGGGCTCTATGGGGCTCTATGGGGCTCTATGGGGTTTCTATGGGGCCTCTGTGGGAGTCTGTGGGGCTCCATGGGGCTCTATGGGGTTTCCGTGGGGTTCTGTGGGGCTCTATGGGGTCTCTATGGGGCTCTGTGGGGCTTTATGGGGTCTCTATGGGCCTCTATGGGGTCTCTGTGTGGCTCTATGGGGTGTCTATGGGGGTCTGTGGGGCTCTATGGGGTCTCTATGGGGTTCTGTGGGGCTCTATGGGGTTCTTTGGGGCTCTATGGGGTGTCTATGGGGCTCTGTGGGTCTCTATGGGTCTCTATGGGGGCTCTGTGGGGCTCTATGGGGCTCTGTGGGGTCTCTATGGGGCTCCGTGGGGGCTCTGTGGGGCTCTATGGGGTGTCTATGGGGGCTCTGTGGGTCTCTATGGGTCTCTATGGGGTCCCTATGGGGCCCTATGGGGTTCTTTGGGGCTCTATGGGCGCTCTATGGGGTGTCTATGGGGCTCTGTGGGGCTCTATGGGGTGTCTATGGGGGTCTGTGGGGCTCTATGGGGTCTCTATGCGGTTCTGTGGGGCTCTATGGGGGCTCTGTGGGGTGTCTATGGGGCTCTATGGGGCTCTGTGGGGCTCTATGGGGCTCTGTGGGTCTCTATGGGGCTCTATGGGGGCTCTGTGGGGCTCTATGGGGTGTCTATGGGGCTCTGTGGGGCTCTATGGGGTCTCTATGGGGCTCTGTGGGGCTTTATGGGGTCTCTATGGGGCGCTATGGGGGCTCTGTGGGGCTCTATGGGGTGTCTATGGGGCGCTGTGGGGCGTCTATGGGGTCTCTATGGGGTGTCTATGGGGCTCTGTGGGGCTCTATGGGGGCTCTGTGGGGCTCTGTGGGGCTCTATGGGGTGTCTATGGGGCTCTATGGGGCTCTATGGGGCTCTATGGGGGCTCTATGGGGCTCTGTGGGGCTCTATGGGGCTCTATGGGCTCTATGGGGCTCTATGGGTCTCTATGGGGTCTCTATGGGGTCTCTATGGGGTCCCTATGGGGCTCTGTGGGGTGTCTATGGGGCTCTATGGGGCTTTATGGATCCCTATGGAGTTCTATGGGGCTCTATAGAGTCTCTATGGTGTCTCTATGGGGTCCCTATGGGTCTCTATGGGGCACTATGGGGTCCCTATGGGGCTCTGTGGGGCTCTGTGGGGTGTCTATGGGGCTCTGTGGGGCTCTATGGGTCTCTATGGGGCTCTATGGGGGCTCTGTGGGGCTCTATGGGTCTCTGTGGGGTCTCTATGGGGCTCTATGGGGGCTCTGTGGGGCTCTGTGGGGCTCTATAGGGTCTCTATGGGTCTTTATGGGTCTATATGAGTCCCTGTGGGTCTCTATGGAATCTCTATAGGTCTCTATGAGGTCTCTATGAGTCTCTGTGGTGTCTCTATGGGGTCTCTATGGGTCTCTGTGGGTCCCTATGCGGTCCCTATGTGTCCCTATGTATCTCTATTGGTCTCTATGGGTCCCTATGTGTCCCTATGGGTCTGTGTCCCCCCCCAGCTGGCTCTGGCGCAGTCCCTGCCGCTGCCCCCCCAGGCGCTGGCCCCCATCCACCTATGTGTCCCTATGTATCCCTATGGGTCCCTATGGGTCCCTATGTGTCCCTATGTATCCCTATGTGTCCCTATGTGTCCCTATGTGTCCCTATGTATCCCTATGTGTCCCTATGTGTCCCTATGTGTCCCTATGTGTCCCTATGTGTCCCTATGGGTCCCTATGGGTCCCTATGTATCCCTATGTATCCCTATGTATCCCTATGGGTCCCTATGGGTCCCTATGTATCCCTATGTGTCCCTATGGCTCCCTATGGCTCCCTATGTATCCCTATGGGTCCCTATGTGTCCCTATGTGTCCCTATGGGTCCCTATGTGTCCCTATGTGTCCCTATGTGTCCCTATGTGTCCCTATGTGTCCCTATGTGTCCCTATGGGTCCCTATGTGTCCCTATGTGTCCCTATGGGTCCCTATGGGTCCCTATGTGTCCCTATGTGTCCCTATGGGTCCCTATGTGTCCCTATGTGTCCCTATGGGTCCCTATGTGTCCCTATGTGTCCCTATGGGTCCCTATGGGTCCCTATGTGTCCCTATGTGTCCCTATGGGTCCCTATGGGTCCCTATGTGTCCCTATGTGTCCCTATGTGTCCCTATGTGTCCCTATGGGTCCCTATGTGTCCCTATGTGTCCCTATGGGTCCCTATGTGTCCCTATGGGTCCCTATGGGTCCCTATGTGTCCCTATGGGTCCCTATGTGTCCCTATGTGTCCCTATGTGTCCCTATGGGTCCCTATGGGTCCCTATGGGTCCCTATGTGTCCCTATGGGTCCCTATGGGTCCCTATGTGTCCCCCCAGCTGGCTCTATGTGTCCCTATGTGTGCGCTGGCCCCCATCCACCTATGTGTCCCTATGTATCCCTATGTGTCCCTATGTATCCCTATGTATCCCTATGTGTCCCTATGTGTCCCCATGTGTCCCTATGTGTCCCTATGGGTCCCTATGTGTCCCTATGGTTCTGTCCCCCCCCAGCTGGCTCTGGCGCAGTCCCTGCCGCTGCCCCCCCATGCGCTGGCCCCCATCCACGTCTCCTTGGCCACCACGTTTGGGGACCTGGGCCAGCCCGCGCGGGCCCTGCACCACTTCCGCCAGGAGCTGGCCCTGCGCGGGGGGGACCCCGCCGAGGTGGGGCCCGGACCCATGGAACGGTGGGGGGGGGCTTGGGGGGTTCATTGGGGTCCTATGGGGGGGAAAGTGGGGTCCTTGGAGGGGTCAGTGGGGTCCTGGGGGGGTCAGTGGGGTCCTTGGGGGCTCAGTGGGGTCCTGGGGGGCTCAGTGGGGTCCTGGGGGGTTCATTGGGGCTCTGTGGGGTCTCTATGGGGCTCTATGGGGTCTCTATGGGGCTTGGGGGGGGGTGTGGGGTCCTTGGGGGGGTCATTGGGGTCCTTGGGGGGGGCAGTGTGGTCCTTGGGGGGGTCAGTGGGGTCCTGGGGGGTTCAGTGGGTTCCTTGGGGGGCTTCAGTGGGGTCCTTAAGGGGGTTCAGTGGGGTCCTGGGTGGGTTCATTGGGGTCCTGGGGGGGTTCAATGGGGTCCTGTGGGGTTCATTGGGGTCCTGTGGGGTTCAATGGGGTCCTGTGGGGTTCATTGGGGTCCTGGGGGGTTCATTGGTGCTCTGTGGGGTCTCTATGGGGCTCTATGGGGTCTCTATGGGGCTTGGGGGGGGGTGTGGGGTCCTTGGGGGGGGAAGTGGGGTCCTGGGGGGGGCAGTGGGGTCTGGAGGGGGGGAAGTGGGGTCCTTAAGGGGGTTCAGTGGGGTCCTGGGGGGCTCAGTGGGGTCCTGGGGGGGGGGCAGTGGGGTCCTTAAGGGGGTTCAGTGGGGTCCTTGGGGGGTTCAGTGGGGTGCTGGGGGGGGAAGTGGGGTCCTGGGGGGGGGTCAGTGGGGTCCTGGGGGCTTCAGTGGGGTCCTTGGGGGGGTCAGTGGGGTCCTTAAGGGGGGGTCAGTGGGGTCCTGGGGGGGTTCATTGGGGTCCTTGGGGGGGGGGGGGGTCAGTGGGGTCCTGGGGGGGTTCATTGGGGCCTTGGGGGGTTCATTGGGGTCCGGGGGGGGTCAGTGGGGTCCTTAAGGGGGTTCAGTGGAGCCCTTGGGGGGGCGGGGGGGTCAGTGGGGTCCTTGGGGGGGGCTCAATGGGGTCCTGTGGGGTTCATTGGGGTCCTTGGGGGGGGGT